TTTACATGAAAAAGATGAGCGACAAGGCAATCTAGATTGTAACAAAGCCAAAACATAATTATTCAAACTTAGAATTAGTTTTGTTTATATTAAAAATGCCAAAATTTCTAGGAGAAGTCATCAAATTAGTTACATTTAATATTATTGATAAATAATTTGTATTATCAAGATATATACATACATATACATACATACATACATATGTATGTATGTATGTTTTCTTTAAAAAAAAATAGAAATTGATATTTGGCAGAGGCCCAAATATCGATTTCCTATGTGTTTTTTGGCCCCATGAAGAGGCTCGCGCCATGTGCCTTCCAGAACCACCGCGCCACGATGGGATCGAACCCTTGACATGAGGGGACTTACAGTAATCCCGCCACCAACAGGCCAAGACTTGCGGCACTGTGTATGTGTGTGTGTGTGTGTGTGTCGCGTGATCAGATCAGTTGGTCAGACATCTGCTTGTGAATTGTAAGTATATGTGTGTGTGTCGCGTGATCAAATCAGTTGGTCAGACATCTGCTTGTGAATTGTAAGTTCCCTTTGGTCTGGGGTTCGATTCTCTTCGAGTGTTGGGTGTGGTACTCAAATTATAGACGCATGAGGGATGACCAGGGCTCATATAATAGCCTCTGAGTATATATATATATATATATATTAAATAGGATACCTATATTTTAACAAAAACAATAATGATTATTCATTCATTTTAGATCTTATTAAATATTTACAACTATTAAAAATTGAAGAGCTCACAAATTTTCATTATGGTAAACCTTCAAAACCATTTCAAACGATTCAAAATTCTCCTCACATTAGTCCACAAATAGATCGTCAACCTCGCTCTCCATGGTATATAAACAATGTTATCTGCCAATCAACTAAACATTGAGACTGAGTCCAGTATGCATGGACTTAATCTTTAGGGGCTTCTTGTAATGACATTTTAGCTAATGCTTGAAAATAATAATTTTGTTAATAAATTAATATTACATGTAACATATTAAATGTTATCTATGGATAATGAACTCAATAAAAGTTAAAATTAAGCTCAAAATTTATTACATATAATGTAATAATAAATATACTAATATAAAATATTTATTCACCTAATTAACTAAATTTAATGAATAATGTAAAACTTTTGAAATCAATTCAACTTGTTAGCACATAAAGGTGATTATCATTATGACCACAAGATAATAAAATAGATGACAATAATGTTATAAATATTTTTCACTTATAAGAAATTAAAAAATCAATAAAATTTTTTAAAAAAACACAAATAAAATTTTTAAATTTATAAAGCATTTTTAATGATTTTTTAATATATATTAAACAAATATATAATCTACTATGAGTTCACCAAGACTTTTGATAGAACATAAGCAATTTGAAGTTTCTATCAAAACTCCAACCGTTACACCAAAAAGCACCTCGATGTTAGGGTTCTTCTTCATTGTACACAAGAAAATTCAAAATCTCCCCCACCTAAGTAGATGATGCCCTCATCAATTTTTCTTAACATAGAATCATCCATGAAGCAGATATAATTCTAAAGGCGGTTGTACATATTCAAGAGGCCGCTCTCATAATGTAACACTTTGTTTTGCATGACACTTAGTTCTCATCTTCAAACTTATGTATTGCTTTGATATCATTTGTAATCAGTCAAACTTTCATCCATCAAGATATTATCCACTTTGGCTTAATGGTCTTATGACTTTGCCCCATTGGTTTCATCACTTAGCCTCATTCATGTAACTATCCAGGATGTCACCCATCCCAAAAGTGCTCCTATATGAGCACACTTAACTTTGGAGCTTCTATTGAAACTTCAACCATTACACCAAAAGGCAGTTTGACGTTTAAGTGTTCCAACTTCTTTGTACTTGAATGGTTTCACAAAAAAATTGAACAATTTCTCAATTTATGTGTCATTTTTACATAGTGGTCATACTACTCTTCTTTGCATCTTTCCAATTTTATTGGTTGTCTATGAGCAACATAATGATTAGCTAGATGGATATTGTACACATTTTGGTTATAAAAAGTTGTGATAGTTTAAAGACTTTTTGGGTACGTAGTTTTATACATTTGATGTTTAATATCTCTAGAAGTATTTTGTTAAATTTTTATGCCCACTTTCGTGTATTAAAAATACAAATGAATATTAGATTGAATTGAATAGTTTATGTTTGTAATGATAGAGTGAAACAAATCTTCTACCTATTGAGTGATGATTTGTGAAGTTAGGACAAATGTCAGCGAAAATCACATCTAACTAAATAGTCCACCTCTATTACACCATTGCTTGCCCCAAGGTGGTCAATTCTGTGTGACATTTGGTACCATCCAACATTCATCATCCTACCGACTCGTGATTGTCGCCTTCTCACAATCTTGACACCTCAAATTCTCTCCACCACTATTACAAGACATTCAAGTATCAACCGTATAATCATGCACTGTCCATAGTATTGCAATCAAGTCAAGCACTCCATACAAGTTGTTCAAGAGAACAAAGCTCCAATTGAGCTTTCCCACACATTCATAATTAGCTTGGCATGATTAAGATTCTCAATAATCAAACTTGGATGAGTACTTGGCTTGCTTGAATAAATACACACTTAAATTAGTTAATAAACAAGCATAAATCACAATATTAAATTAAATCCCACAGGGACCATATCAACAAATAATTTTAATCAATTAATTTGCTAGGAAATTCACTTGCGAGTATCATTATTTCGAGCACAAGTTGTAAATAAGTTGAACATAAACAAATTTTTTTTGAACATGTTGAGCTTAATTTAGTTCAAATTAGTTAAATTATTAAGTAAATAAAATTTATTCAAACTAAATTCAAATAGATTGGTACAGGAACATCCTATTGACGAACTATTTAACATACCCTTAGATCTCAAACAAATAAATTCTCAGACGAGTTGAATAAGACAGCTCACTCAAACTAGTTCATTTATATCACTGCTACGACGCAGGGAAACAGAAGGGAAAACAATTATAGCTTTTCTGAAGCCAGTCGCATAATAACTTCTCATCTTAAGACAAATTCCTGTCTGAATAAACATTTTTCGCAGTTTAGTATAAAAAAAAAAAAAAACTTCACAGCATGAGAAAGCTAGCCTTAAAACAGGTACAATCCATTACCAAGCTAGTCAGAAAAAAACATCGTCTAAATTATTCCTAATCAAAAGTAGATAAAAACTGAGGAATTAATTGTCTACAAGATGAGAACACATTTAGAGTATGGGGCAGCTGCAGCTTATTAACAAGTTGTTGATGAACAACTGATCCGAATAAGGTGGTTGATTGTTTGGTTTGTGTTATTGGAAAATAACTGTTTTGTAGCTGTTTCTGGATAAATGACAATTCTGTCTCTGTGTAACAATGTTGTTTGTAATAGAACTGTCATAGCAATATATTTGATATTCGAGAAGTAAAAAAAAACTTCATAATAATACAAAAAATAAGATACATACCTTTCGAGAAGTAAAAAACAACTTCATAATAATACAAAAAATAAGATACATACCTCACTTAACAACGAGTATTAAGGTTGTTAATAAAAAAAGAAAAAAATATTAAAATTACAACTTAAAATATAATAATATTAACGAGTATTAAGGTTGATAAAAAAAGAAAAAATATATATTAAAATTACAACTTAAAATATAATAATATTAATTTTATAATCCAAACCGTGTATGTCACGAGCTACGTCGTTCTGCAGGGATATCATCCAACCTCGATCAACATCGGCAGTGGAAGCTGTCGGACGGACTGTCAGTCCACTGAAAGAAGTCACACTTCTCTGTGATGTTCGTGGGCACCCGTAGAACTCTCCTGTAACCATGTGCGCATCGACAGTGGAAGCTGTCGGACTGTCAGTCCACTGAAAGAAGTCGCACTTCTCTGTGATGTCCGTGGGCACCCGTAGAACTCTCCTGTAACCATGTGCCCAACTTGACGTCAATAGAGAAGTTTGTAGTCCGCAGTGGCAGAACACTCATCGGGAAGTCCATGAAATCCTAGAGTTCATTTTTCATAAATGACTCAAAAGAGAATCTATTAGTCATAACTGAAATTAAAATTGCTAAAAAAAATAAATAATTATTATTTCCATTCTATTTCATATTTATGCTTCTCTAATAAAATGCAACATTCTTTTTTTTTTTCATATTTGCTCAAGAATAACTCTTCTCATTAGTGTAATTGCTAAAAAAAGTATTATTTTGAATGCATTGAAAGTTCGAAACAATACAATCTTATATCAACAATTTTCGCCCATTTTTCATGATTCCAAAAATCTACTGATAAGAGATTGTATTGTTTTATACTTTCAACACATTCAAAGCAATAATTTTTTTTAGGAATTGCACCAATGAGAGGTGCTACAGTCGAGCAAATATGAAAAAAAAAAAAGAATGTTGCATTTTTTTTCCAAGAGTACAAGAGGTAAAAATCTTTGTTGGAGACATAAATATGAAATAGAATGAAAATAATAATTATTTATTTCTTTTAGCAATTTCAACTTTTGTTATGACTAATGGATTGTCTTTTGAACCATTCAGAAAAATGAGCTCCAAGATTTCAGAGACCTCCTGACGAGTGCTTTGCACTGCAGAGTACAAACTTCTCTACTAATGTCTTGTCGGACACATAGCTACGGGAGACAATTCTACAGGTGTCAGCTGGACATTACATAGAAGTGTGACTTCTTCCGATGAACAGACAATCCAACAGATTCCGTTGCCGATAGTGATCGGGGTTGTACGGTATCCCTGAAGAACGACGTAACACGTGACATACGCCGTTTGGATTTTAAAATTAATATTATCATATTTTTAATTATAATTTTAATATATATATATTTTTTATTAATCTTGATACTCACTATTAAGTGAGATATATATCTTATTTTTGTAATGTTTTAAAGTCATTTTTTTTTCTTAAGTATTAAATATATTGCTATGACACTGCTCTTGCAAACAACATTACTGCACAAGGGTAAAATAATCATTTATTCATAAACAACTGCAAAACAATTGTTTTCCAACAACACAAACCAAACAACTAACTAGCTTATCTGAATTAGCTGCTAATCCACAACTTATCTGGATCAACTGCTTATTAATAAACTGCGGCTACCCCAAGCATATACCCTTAGCAATTAAAAGAAATTGTCCGCAGATCTGATCAGTCTAGCTGCAAATGAGCCATCCATAGAATGCTTGATTGGATCAGATTTATAGAAGCCGTTAAGATCGACAAACCCAGCAGGAACAAATCTATGTACAGGATCCACAGCAAATTCCTGAAAATGAATTTAATATGTTAAGATTTTCCTCATAAGGATGAATGAAATATAAATTAATTGTTAGAATATCAACTTCTCAGGGCATGCAGAAATTATGAGAAAGTCCAACACAACTAAGGGTCCACTTGGGAATGTTGCAGCTTTTTATAAAGATAACTTTAAAACTGTTGTGGGTAAATCAAATTTTTTAGAGGTTGTTGCGAGTCTTATGTTTTCTTTTTTCAAAAAATCATACAAAAGTTTCTTATAGTTCCACCCTTCAACGAATCTGATTCTCAAAAGGCAAGTTTTCGCACAAAAATTTCTAGGTAGCAAGAAAGTAGTAGTCAAATGAATGTTTGATAACTTGGTAAGAAAATAAGTGGCATTTACAAACATAGCACCCAATTCCTGTATTTGCATAACTACCACATAAACTTCGCTTTGGCATTCATACCATCCACATTTTTAATATCACATAAAAATATCATTATTTGAACTTAAAAAAAAAAGGTGACAAACAACTTTCACGCATGTATGTATATATATATATATATATATAAAAGAGCATCGGAGGCTCACTACGTGTTAAAATTAAGAAACATGTACAAAGTTGGAGGGGAGGAGGAGCCCCATCTAAAACAGCCAAAAAATACTTTTAACACACCCCTAGGGGTTCCTCCTCCCACATTACAACTCATGCGAAATGAAAACTCCAAACTTACAAGTATACCCAAGCCAAAAAAGCAAAACTCAAAATTAGTATACATGTGCCCGTGTAGTAGAAATAGCAGGAAAAGAAATAAGAGAGAATCCAAGGAAAAAAAGAGGCAGCAAAAATCTCCTAATCCACTGGAAACACTCCAGCAAACAACAGTGCAAACTGGGATGTCGATCGACTGAGAAGAGCAGCCAAACAACACAAGACTAGCGTAAACCAAGAGATCAGGAGAGCCAGAGATACAAAGCCAGAAAGGGGTGCAATCCGAAACCTGCCAGCAAAATAAAGAAACCACAAGAGGGAGGATGCAAAACCAAATCACAGTAAAGATACGGGAGCACCCAGCCATAGAGCCGAGCAACAAGTATCTAAAATCTAACATAAAGGCAAATCCAGGTTATCACCAGTAAGGAGACGTCTGAGGGGAGCAGGGGGAGATAAACCTACAGAGCATGCATCCCCAGTTTGTCTGGCTAACCAATCACAGGGGAGTTGCCCTCTCTAAGGATGGAACTCCAACTCACTTTCATATATCTTTCAGAAATTAAAGTAGAAATACGTTTAGAATGCATATAATATCCCGAAGAGAATGAGAGATAACCAACAGTATATCATAGAGCATTTTCGAATCAGTTTCCACCTCAATCGTATGAAAATTGAAAGCAATTGCCACCAGAGGAAAAAGGAGATAGAGGGAGTTAAAAGTTTGTGTCAAATCCATTTTCCCCAAAACCAATCCCGATGAAAGTGTAAAGTGCCATAGATTAACTTGCAGACCGATTGAGAAGTGGTCCTCTTCCACACGGGGAAATCCCTGTGAGAAGGGGCAATAGGTATAGTATTATATACTTAACATTTTGCTCCCCCACAATAAAACACGGTTTGGTGAAATCTCATCTATCTTGAGAAAAGAAATCAGAAACAAGTTATTAGTACGGGGAGGATGAGAATATTCAGAAAGAAGACAATCCCCAATTATCATTCCAAAAAGAGATGTTACCGTCACCAATGTCCCAAAACATGAAATCACTAGCAATAGACCTAGCATTAACAACAGTTTTCCAGATCCGAGAATCACCAACCTTCTACAAAACCTAGGAGGGGTGAGAAAAATCACAGTATTTCTGATGCATAAAAGTGACCCATAGAGAAGAGCCCATTCTAAATTTAAACCAGAGTTTGCAAAGGTTTATTTCTACTGTGTGTTTCAAGGCTTTAAAGCCAAAACCGCCAGCCTTCTTAGGCTTACACAACCTTTGCCAAGAGCCCCAAATCTTCTTAGCACCATTCCCCACCCAAAGGAATTTATTGAAAAGCCTCTCCATGACATTAATAACACTTTTCTTCGGATTAAACACCTGCAAAGCATATAAAGTAATACTCTGAAGCACACTAGATAGCAATGTTATCCTGCCCCCAGTAGAAAGGAAAACATTTCTCTAATCGTTAATTTTACACTTGATTTTATCAATAACATCATCCAAAAGAATATGTTTCCTCCTTCCCCTAATCAAATTAACCCCAAGGTATTTAAGAGGGAGAGAGAGAGACATAGTGATAACCTGTATAAGAAACCCCCCAATGAATAAATTGCCGCTTAACCTGTTTGCCAAAATACATCTGACATTTGTCACAATTAAAAACTCGTCCTGAACAATTCTGGAAATCATTTAAGAGCCTCATTAATTGTTTTAAGGCAAGTTTAGAGGTATTAGCAAAAATAATAACATCATCCGCGTAAACAAGGTGAGAAACAACCATTTTGGCCTTATGAGAAAACTGTGCAAGAGGGTGGATCAGTTGAAAATGATTAAGCATTCTAGATAAATAATCAAAGGCTAAAATAAAAATAGTAGGGGAGAGGGTCCCCCTGTTTAATGCAGCCCTCGTAGCAGAGAAGAACCCAGAAGAGTCACCACATAAAAATTACCATTAACCAGGACGGAGTAATGATTGTTAGCCAACCATCTGAACCCTCTGGCCTTCAAAACGTTGATGATAAAATCCCAGCTAATAGTATCAAAGACCTTGATATCTAATTTGATATCTAGATTGTCACCTCTGCATTTTTTATCAAGATCTTGTAAAATTTCCTGGGCTAAGAGGATATTGTCAGAAATATCACTGTCTTTTATAAAAGTCGATTGATGTGGAGAGATGAGAGAAGGAAGATGAGGTTGTGGCTGGTCATAATCAATTTGCTAATAATTTTCGAAACCACAGAAGTGAGCGAGATAAGATGAAAATTCTTCAAATGCAATTTATCATTAGATTTAGGTATAAGAACTATTAAGGCGGAGGTAAAATACTTTCCAGGATCTTCTCCCTGATTAAAACTTTGAATCACAATAACTACCTCTTTTTTATGATGTCCTAGCAAGAAATATAAAAAGCAAAAGTTAGACCATTAGGGCCAGGAGCCTTCTGGGAGTGAATATCTTTGAGCGCAGAGAAAATTTCCATCTCAGAGGGGGGGATCAGACAAAGAGAGGGAGGAAACCATATCTATATGAGCATCAAACATTTCCGAAAGAATATCAGTGACCGACAGAGCATCAGCATAAAGAGAGGTAAAATAATCAGCGGCATTGGAACCAATTTGATCAACATCAGTGAGGACAACACCCTCATCGGTAACAATCTTAAGAATGACATTAATATTCCGTCGATGTTTAACAGTGGCGTGAAAATACTTAGTGTTTCGATCACCATTTCTAAATTAAATGTCACAAGTTTTTTGTCTAAGGAAATCTTACTCAATAGTGATTTCCTCCAAGACAATATGGTGAGCATGGGCTAACTTAGCAACAAGATCAGGAGTGTCGATCACCTGTGCCTCCAGCACATCCACCTCATGTTGGGCATTCAAAACCCTGGAATGCACATAGCCAAAAATATCAAAGTTCAACTTCTTTAAAAAAGTAACCACATTCTTATGCAATTGCCATAAAATAAACCAAGAGCTATCACTCCACTGCAAGACCCAAGTCTGCTTAATCAAATCAAGAAAGGTAAGATGAGAAGTCCAAACATTAAGAAATTTGAAATGAGAGTGAGCAGGTTTAGCATGAAAAGCCAAGCTAAGCAAAATTGGATTATGATCCGAAGCAACATGATTAAGATGCTTGACAAGTATAATATTATAATAGCCTAGAAAAGGGAGTTTCCCAGAAATCCATCCAGTCTCTGCATAAGAAGACCCCTCCTCCAAGTATAGGGAGTATAGGGAGGACCCGAGAAGGACCCGAGAAACCCAAATCATAGAGACCAACATCGACATGTGCTCACATAAGGTTCGTATCAACTTTAGCACCACCCATTCTCTCCGAAGAAGACATAATCATATTTAGATCACCCCCAACAAACCATTTATCAGAAATAGAAGCACCCATTTGTGGAAGCTGTTGTCAAAGAAGTAATTTGTCTCGTAATAAGGAGCTGGCGTAAATAAAGATAGCCCAACCATGAAAATCCTCCACCTGAAAATGAATTAGAACATACTGCATATTATCATGAATAATATTGAAAGTGATGTCATTTTTCCAAAAGAGCCAAATTTTATTGTTCTGATTACTATAGTGTATGTAATTCTTGAATTTCTTAATGATATCCTCCTTATGAACCGACACAAATGACTCCAATAGATCAAAAATATCTGGCTTATGGACCCTACATAAATGTTTTAAACGATTAAAGGAGTGGGGGTCTGCCACTCCCCTAATGTTCCATACAAGAATGTTAAACATGTTGGCCCAAAACACCCCCCTCCTAGCAATTCTAGGGGGAAGGTGCAAGTGCTCACCCTCAGAATGATAAGTGATATCAATATTATTTGAATTTGTCATATTAGGAACTTCTGATTTCCTTCTACTGCGTTTCCTACTGTATTTTTGAATTGTTCATTCGGAATCCAAAGCCAAGGCAGCAACAACAACTGGGTCAAGCGGTGGAGTGGTAGAAAGTATAGTAGTGTGATGTGTAGATAGTTGTGGGGTGTCCTGAATGTGTAATTCTCCAGGCAGTGCAATGGGGAGCTGTACCACATTTTCCTGCTCAGGTGTATTGTGTGTGGCAGCAAACGGCTCCACATTCTCTTCAGACCGCTCAAAGGGCAAAGGGGCTACGTGTGCTACGCCATCGATATGGGCAACACTGGTTTCCTCCAAGGTAGGAGCAATTTGTTCAGCAACCGGTTCAATAGGAGGTGTTTTCAGCAGAGGATAAACGACCCAAAAAAGTTTTCCTCAGTTGAGGATGTAGGTGAAAACAGTGTACCGACTCATGCCCAAATATACGA